CAATATTGCAAAACCAAAAGAGCCCGCAACGGCTGTCAAAAATACTCTTGGACCGGCAGACCTTTCCAACGACGATACCTATTACCAACTGATTCAGCATAAAATTAGCTATATCATATATCAGATCTTCAAAAAAAAAAACAATCAAAAAATGCTATGGTTCTTTAAACGTACGTCGCATTATTGTTTCTTTATTGGTCAGGATTTTTGACATGACATTTTGACGTTAAAGTTCATTGACAAAATTGAAGAAAAATATTCCTAAGACATACGTTCAAAAAGCCATAGCAATCTTTGAATGTTTTTTTTTTTGAAGACCCGATATAATTATTGATAATTATATATTAAATTAAATAATAGTATATTACATACCGAGTAGAGAAGTGTTTCATTACTGTCGAGAGATTTATATAATCTATTAATCTCGAAACAGAAATGAAAACTTTCCTCCGAGGTTTGTATAATATTTTATTTGCAAGCACAAAGCACACTATTAATTATGATTGGTCGTTTAACTTTTTTAATATTAAAAAAATAAAACAAACATGCCAAAATGTGTCATTCACTGTTTTGACGTTTTTACCTGACATGTTCTCATTGCTGCCAGCAAAGGTAAATAACTTAGAGTGAGGGAAATCGGTGAGGGAAGTCGAATAGGGAAATCGGTGAGGGAAATCGAAGAGGGAAGTGACACAGGTAAAGTGACACTTCCAAATTTTTAAAAAGTCAGTAATGTCAAGATTACATATATGGCTGCAAATAATAGTATATTACATACCGAGTAGGGAAGTGTTTCATTACTGTCGAGAGATTTATATAGTCAATCGAGACGCGAAGCGTCGAGATTGACTATTAATCTCGAGACAGAAATGAAAACTTTCCTCCGAGGTTTGTATACTATTTTTTTTACTACTAACCTGAGAAATAGTCATTATTCAATCTATTTTTTTAGGAAAAAATTGAATTTCTCTCCCTAGGTTAATAATGAAAATAATGAAAAAATACCTAGGTCAATAATGAAAATGACGTCATGATGCAAGGATATTGTCATGTTTCTATTGGTCCAATTTCAATTTTATACGTCAATTCAAAAAAAATACAGGTTTCTGTAGGTACATATAGGAAGTTATCATAAGCTGTTGTTAGAGGGCAGCACTTTCAAAAGGGCGTTCAAAAAAATAATTAAGAGCACAGATTTTGAATATTTTTTTTATTTTCTACTAGTAGTAGTAAAAAAAATTCTATATATTCCTCGGTAGAGAAAGTCATTATATACCTTACACATTATAAACCTCGGCGCTCCGTATATAATGACCAACTTCTCTACCTAGGTATATAATATACTATTATTTGCAAGAACACTATTAATTATGATTATTCATTCAATTTTTTTAATATTAAAAAAATAGAACAAACATGCCAAAATGTGTCATTTACTGTTTTGACGTTTTTACCTGACATGTTCTCATTGTTGCCAGCAAAGGTAAATAAATTACAGTGAGGGAAATCGGTGAGGGAAGTCGAATAGGGAAATCGGTGAGGGAAATCGAAGAGGGAAGTGACACAGGTAAAGTGACACTTTCAAATTTTTAAAAAGTCAGTAATGACAAGATTACATATATGGTTGCAAATAAACAATATTAAAAGTATTGGCTACCGAACGCTTTCCTTACAGATCACACCAAAATTGAGAGGTGGATAGATCATTACTCAGAGGTCTTTATTCAAAAAAACCATAACGAATTATCAATTATAGATCGGCTTCCCTCGTACTCACCTATGTTTTCTCTCGACGACGAAATCAAACTGCAAGAAATTCGAACAGCAATAAGACAAATCACCCGGAATCGACCCCATTCCAGAGAAAATTTTCAAGGCTCTTGTTCATGATATCACTGAACACCTACTGATACTTCTATGCAAAATCTGGCTTCAAGGGGAAGTGCCGCAAGATTTCAAAAATGCCCTAATTATAAATCATTACAAAAACAAATGCGATGCCTCCAACTGCAACAATTATAGAGGCATATCACTACTGTGTGTTGCCGGCAAAATCCTTTCAAGGTTTATGTCTAATTGCCTTATTCCACTATTAGAAAATTTACTGCCTAAATCTCAATGTGGTTTCCGACCAAACCGAGGTACAGTAGATCTTATATTTACGCTTCGACAATAATTAGAAAAAATAATAAGAAAAAGTTCGTGAACAACAATCAAGGCAACAATACAGCACGGTTAAAAATACAGCGCTGCAGCTAATCATGGAATATCTTGGAGTACCGGAAGTTTTTAACAGTAGGTATGTCGCAGCCTCCATACTAAGAACATGGCTAGGGTATCAAACAATGGATCTACAACCACTCAATTTCAAACCAATTCTGGAATAAAGCAGGGCCTAGAACCTGTTTTATTTAACATTGCCATAGCTATCTCAATTATTGCGGATATAAGCATGCCTGTTAAGGGTGTTGGAATCAGGTTAAGATTTGATAGCGGCTTATTTAATTTAAACCATCTCAGGGTAAAGACTCGAAGATTTATAAGAGAACTGTAATATGCCGATGATAACGCTCCTATCGCATACTCTCTGGTAGATTTTCAGACAATGCTAGATGCCTATATTACTCTTTATTCACGAGTCCTTGGGCTGGAAGCTCAACATTGGCTGATGGTTTGTCCACCACAAAACGACCAGACAGATGTCAACCTGGATGGTGAACCTCTTGAGGTAGTGGAGCAATTTAACTACCTGTGTAGCTCCGTCAATAGCAAATCTAATCTCGACTCAGAAATACATAACCGTAGGAACTCTGCCTCCCGTTCCCATTGGAAACTTAAGGTGAGAGTCTATCAAAATCATGCCATAGGCCTAAAGACTGAACCGGCATTCTACAAAACAGTTGTGCTCCCAACACTACTGCGTATGGAAGTAAAAGTTGGACCCCGTATAGGAGACATATTAAACAGCTCCAGACACCAGCGCCATCTCAGACAAATAATGCATACCAGATGGTTCCGTAGAATGTCGAACGCGGAAGTCTTACCACCGCAAATCACTAGGTCTAAAGTCAGATGTGCTGGCCACGTCTCAAGAATGTAAGACACTTCTTCCGAAAATGACACTGTATGTCGAACTAATAGAGATAAGGGAGTTAGAAAACTCGGAGGGCAATACAAATGATATAAAGACGTACTGCACCAGTCGCTGAAATAATTTAATGCGAACAGAAACTGCCAATAGCTTCAGACAGAGCACAGTGGAGGGCATTAGTTTATAGCTACAATGGCAATGTGACAGGAGCACAATGACGACCTGGATAAATTGGGGACTACCTACCACTGCGCAGAATGCAGGAGGATCTGCAAATCGGAAATAGAGCTTTTTAGTCATTGTGAAACAAATAGGTAATCACATTTATTCATAAGTAAAAATCAGTAAGAACCTACTAAGTTAATTTAGATGGTTTTAAGTCTTCTTGTACCTATAGGTACCCTTTTCTAGGAAACAGGTGAAGGGCCGAGCTGCTTCACCTTGGAGAATGTTTTGAAAAATCGTTTTCATTGAAATAGGCTACAGGCTCATCAAGTTCTCCAAATATTTTCTGTGAAGAAGATTGGGAAAAGTTCAGAGCGTAGAGCCTATGAGTCATCTGCAAGGGTTAGATTCCCCATTCTGAAAGGTTGAGTTAAAGTTTGCGTGGATAAGTGCAAACTCTAGAGAGAATGATCGCTTCGAAATAGAATGGCTGGATCACACTTGATGTGGTTGCGAGGCTTAAAACTGAACTGAGTAACTTCATGTGAGGAAGTGGTTAACATGCACCTTTATCCTTCCATAGAAACAGAATGGCGATTCGTTGAAGACCGAGACGCCGAATACAAGCTTCGGAAATAGAGTATGTCATGCTGTGTCCAGCAGTCGTTTGAAGCTGGCAGCAACCTGCAAGTCAACTTCAGCCTTCAGCTGTCGTAAGCATGACAGTCAATTGATTCCTTGACAGTGTGCAGTCGGCGCAGTTAACTGGAGAAGCTCTGCGTAAATTTGGAAATCATATCAAAGCAATCTTTATTGTCGAAATGAAATTATAATTTAATTGTACTGCTCATGATTTAATAAATTGAATTGAATCATAGTAGTTCCAAGATGCAACTTTTGTAATGTACCTATATAACATTTGTAATGTAATGTATTAATACCAGATGGCTCCAAAATAGTGGTTTGTGATAGCTGCCATATAAATATGCACCTAATGATTTGGATATCACAAAAAGACTTCGATCACCTTTCTCAGTGGTGTCGGGTAGTTCGTTAGATTTGAATATAGATAAATGTTCTCAAATTTCTTTTGACAGGAAAAGGAATAAAAAACCATCATGTTACACAATCGACGGACAGAAACTTAAAATAGATGATGTGGCTAAAGACTTAGGTACCTATACTGTTTTATTCTAAATTGAACTTATTATATAGACCATTCGGCAGTAAAGGCTAATATGATGTTAGGCTTTGCTCTTAGGAATTGTAGGAGCTTGTCTTTGCAGGCCGTAAAATCAGTATATGTTGGGATAGTGAGATCACAACTTGAGTATGGGTCAATTATATAGACTACCCAGTATAATGTCTATAAGTTATTGCTGGAGAGTGTGCAACATTTTTTTTTCAGATATTATAATTACATGTTCAATCTAAATCTCATTGCTAACCTTGTCTACTCTCAAATGTTAAATTATCGTAAGCTGCTTCCATTGGACAAAAGGAGAACAATGTTTGACTTTGTTTACAAGTTATTGAATGGTATTTTATTCTGTTCAGATATAGGTACTATCACAAGTTAAATTCTCAATTCCCCAGGGAATGCTTAGACAAATTAGTTTATTTTATATTGGGTTCCATAGGACCAATTACGGTAACAAATTTATTTACAAGCTTACAAAGTTTCACCCAAATCAAAAATGATTTTTTTTCTATATTATACTCATGTTAACTTTGTTATCATTAGAGACACATTCTTGAGCTATTGACCAACATCTACGCCTCAGTGCCATGGATCAACTTGAACCCTGGAAATCACCCTTACACCTTAAAGCAAGTGGACATTTTGGCCATCGCCTGTAGACTGGGTATGACCAATTGCAGAAATCACGCATTAGAGCGTTTCGGAGACCTTATTATTGGTGGAGTGAGGTAATATCATTAGTACAACTGATCAGAACTACTTTATTAAATATTTATTTTTGTTTAAGACCAACGCCGAATCTAAGAAGTGTAGTTTATTGTAACGGTTTACGTTATAGTAATAACAGTAATGGTTGGTGGACTTTATGGGATATGTATCATTTCACTGATCTGGCTAGTGAACGAGTTGGAATACTTTCGGCTTTGGGATGTACTCGCGATGAGACACTTTTGAAATAGTAAGGAATAGGAAGCGTGTTAATTATCATTTCATAACATTAAACTTTAACTGATATTTTTGCATTTTTCAGTATTTTGCATATGAATCATGTAATACTAAATATGATGTCAGAATTTTGGCATTTTAGTACTTTATGAGTGCAGTACCTAATCTTTTTATAATTTAGCTTATAGCCCATAAATGACGCGAAAGGTTTTTTTTTCGAATTCATGACTAATATCTTAGTCTATTTATCTCCAATAGTGAATTGGTAATTGGTACCTATATCTTTATCAATTAATTGGAAATATGTATTGCGTGACATATTAGTCATTTTTTAAATTTACTCAAACCAACTCTTTGAAAATTTTTTTCAATGGATTCAGACTTTTTTGTTCTACTTTTTGGAAGTAATTGGTCTAACGGTATGTGTGTTGTTTTCTTCTCATCCCACCAGGACTGCTCTCTTTTTTATTGGAGATACTTAAGTCTTCTTGCTCTTTTGAATAATCAATCAAATTCACTTTGACTTTGGCACAATCCTCTTTATCGCACAACTATACCTAGTGTACAATTTGCTATGGTTTTTTTCAGCTATTTAGAACTATCCCTTTACGAGAATACTGGCATCAGACCTCAAGATGCTCTATCAGTTTTCACATCCGTTTACACGGGCAGCTCAGTAGGACTTAAGGTTGCTTTTAAATTTTTACAAGAGAATCATGTAAGAATTGGTGAAAGGTACGATAAAAATAGATTTTAGCAAAACAAAATAGTAGGTAACCGTTTTTTATTGTAGATATCAAAGTTTGAACGCACTAACCAATATAATTACCGGTTTAGCTGATCGATTCACTACTGAAGAAGAGCTTATTGAGGTAACAATAATCCCTAAAGTTACTGCGAAAGCTTCGAAATATAAACAATATTATTACCTTTGCTCTAGTTGAGAAGATTCATCACTACTGGAAACCTGCAAGAGGACTTCCTCTCAGCAGCAAACGCAGCCTTACTCAGAGCAGAAGCCAACTTGCTCTGGATTAGTCAGCATTCTGAGGAGCTGTATCAGTATTATGGCTTAGATATTGAAGAACCTGTGCCAGAAACATCTACATCGAGTAGCACTGAGCCGCCACCACCACCACCAACAACTACACCAGTTACAACTGCGGCACCTTCCAGTGCTTCAGCTTTAACTGCGTCGTTTATTTTATTGGTTGTGTCCATATGTGTCAGTTATTAAAAATTGTAAATTGTGATGTGATATTTTATTTAATATTATTATAACAAACTTGAAGGATCAAAACAGGCAGCGTACTTGTTAAATGTAAAGCAGAAGTGGATGTTTCAAAAAAGGAGGAAGAAAAAAAAAAAAAAAAAAAGATTATAACATACAACTGACATACCTGAAATTTAAAATTTTAGTATAATATGATGGACCATCAAAACATTGAAGCATATGTGAGAGAGTAGAACCTAACGAATGATTCAAAAGTCTTATATCTTAAACTAAATAAAAAGAACAACTCCTGTACAATCTTGCGGAATGCGATTATGATTTTTTGGTAAAAAAATTATGAGTATAAGTAAAACTAAAATTATAGAAAGACAAACAAAGTTCAATAAAGATAACCCAATTAGTGTAAGTATAAACTGCTTCGTAATAGTTGAGATGCTTTTACTACTTTGCGCCATTTTTAAATAAGCCGCGGTGAAGGTCCGAATCACTACCTAGGAACCTTATGACTACCAGAAAATGATTTCCCACTTTCTTAGTTTTAGTAATGAATGTTAGCAGTATCATATGAAGTAACTTTGAAACTATTTGGGATTACAAGCACCACCTACGCCCTGATGTCTTTACAATAATTATTATCAAGATAAAAGTAAATCGAACAATCAATTGGCTGAGTTCTTCTCTTACGGCCCCAGTTCACCCATTTCTAAACCCAAAAGGCATGCTGGAAAATTTCTCCTTGCCTGGGTTCAAACAAAAACTTACTGGGATCTTGAATCCTGAAATCTGTCCTGGGCAGCTTTCTATTATGTCAGATTTTGAAAATTCACAGGCTTCAATGTTCAATGTTTATCAACGCAGCAACAACAAGTTAATGTAAAATTCTTTTGTCTTCAAAGAAAGGCACAAAGAATTTAGTATTGTCACCTCTGCGACATTCCAAATATTGTGGAACAAACACGTTCACAGCCACGTTGTTCGATGCGGTCCTATGACGATGGCACTTCTTGCTTCGTTGTACTCCATCATATCTCCGTTCGCATTCCTAATGTTGGACATTTCCTCTTGAGATCTCTAATGATGCTGATGATGATGGGGGTGGTCTCTTGTAGTAGATCCTGATGACTGTTCTTCCCTGATACATGATCATTGAGTGGCAATCAGTCTTAAGTTATATTCACCTTCCCTCTGTCCGGCTTAACTTCAACCGTTACAGCCTGCATTCCAACTTCTTATTCCCAGATGTTCGTGTTCCAGTCCTCATTTGAGTTGTATTGCGACTCCTCATCAGCTAGAAATATATTTGGGAAGTTCAAGGGTGGCAGTCTCTATGGTGGCAGCAGCATGGAATGCTATGAAAAAATGGGGAAAGGTAGAAAAGACGCAGCGAATGTCCAGATAATATCTATGGAAGAATGGACTGGACACTACGAGAAGCTGCTGACAGAGGAAAGGGAACAATTCAAGGGACATATTGAGTAGATTGGGCAAGATCAAGTCAATCATGTGGAAGCCATAACGGCGAAATAGGTTACAACAAATGTATAAGATACAGTGGCGGCTGGCCCTAAGGGGCCAAGGGGCCGTGGCACTGGCGCAAAATATGTCGGTCCTTTTAAAATACCTATTTTTTTTTTTTTTTAGTTCAATAGTTATTACAATCGTGAGATCAAATTACTATCATTTTATAATTTGATTCCGACGGAAAAATTTCTGTCGTTATTATTCCTAAATTTCCTAGACAATAATTAAGCGACTGACTAAACTAAACTCGCTGGACTATCCGTCCGAGCCCATCTCACAACGGCCCCGCTGCAACACGGCAATTACGTTGGAGAAGGTCACGCCGCGCTCTCAGTAACCAGCTGTTTTTTTTTATACGTATAAACGGGGCCACCTGATCGAACGGCCCGGATTAGTTTTTGCGGCAATTTAATTTGAGAGTCGGTTTGCGGACATTGTGCGTATTTTTTAGCGGCGTCGCGGCATCTTTGTCGACATATTTCTTTGAAGCGCTTGCCGCTTGCCGCACCGCACAGAAGTCAGTTTGGTCTGGAAAGATAGTGCAGTAGATATTTTTAACACGCTTATAGCTTCACCTGTATGTATGTTTGTATGTTTGTAAGTAACATTGAAAATGTTAATCGCACGGGCACATAGGAATGCGTGCGAACTTTTGGACTCTTGGGAAGTGTACGAACAAGAACCTGGAACAAGCCAAGTGAGCTGGAACAAGTCGGGCAAGTGTTTGGAAGAAGTCCAGGGAGGTCAGGAAAGGATTGGATAAGGTCTGGAGCAGTCTGTACAAGTCTGGATAAATCTGGATAAAGCCTGGAAAAGTCTGGAAAATGTCTGGAAAAGTCTGGAAACGTCTGGAAATTTCTGGAAAGGGTCGGAAAAATTCTGCCAAAGGTCCCAAAAGACCTGGGGATCATTTTCCAGAATCCGGATCAGTCTGTACAAGTCTGGATAAGGTCTGGATAAATCTGGGTAAAGTCTGTTAAACTCTGGATAAGTCTGGATATTGTCTGTAAAAGTCTGGAAATCTCTGGAAACGTCTGGAAAAGACTTGGAAATTTCTGGAAAGGGTCGGAAAAATTCTGGAAAAGGTCCCAATAGACCTGGGGATCATTTTCTAAAATCCGTATCAGTCTGCACAAGTCTGGATAAAGTCTTCATAAATCTGGATGAAGTCTGGAAAACTCTGGATAAGTCTGGATAATACAATACAATACAAGATGTCTTTATTCATTATTTCAAACAATTTTGGACAAATTATTTTTTACATGATGGCGACGTTCAAATCAATGCTCTTCCACGCAACCATCAACAAGTTTTTAAATACATTTAAATATAAACCAAAAAGAAAACCTGACAGACACACAAGTATAATTAGCTATAAAATAACAAGTACTTTCCAAAAAAGTATACGAACTGATACAAACTAAAACTATCCGTTAATACAAAACTTCAGAAAATACTTTATAAATAAAAAACAAAAGAATATGAATGAAATCAGATAATTAATCAATGAAAACACTGTTACACACGCTTTTGCAACACGTAGTCACATAACTTGGATTTGAATGATTGGATACTGGGAGACAACTTGATGACGTCAGGGACACTGTTATAAATGCTTACAGAATTGTAGGAAAATGATCGTCTAAATAGAGCCGTATAATGTCTGGGGACACTGTAACGAGACGATGATCTCGTAATACGGTCATGTATATCATTCTTCTTTGATAATTTTTGAAAGAGATATGAGGGCAGTTCTGTTTCATTAATTTTGTATACCAAACAAGCCATATGTACTTGGAACCGTTCGTCCAAATTTAGCCAATGAGAATCTCTAAAACATAATGTCTGGAAACGTCTGGAAAAGGCCTGGAAACTTCTTGAAATGGTCGGAAAAAATCTGGAAAAGGTCCCAAAAGACCTGGGCATCATTTTCTAGAATTCGGAGCAGTCTGTACAAGTCTCGATGAGGGCTGGATAAATCTGGATGAAGTCTGTAAAACTCTGGATAAGTCTGGATATCGTCTGGAAAAGTCTGGAAATCTCTGGAAACGTCAGGAAAAGGCCTGGAAGCTTCTTGAAAGGGTCGGAAAAATTCTGGAAAAGGACCCAAAAGACCTGGGGATCATTTTCCAGAATCCGGATCAGTTTGTACAAGTCTGGATAAATCTGCTTTGTTCCACATTTCTCGTACATTGAGCACCCCAAGCTTTTTTCACAATAATTCTAATATTTTTTGTTCATTAATATTTTCTGTTTATATTAAAAATTATTTTTCAGTTTTTAGTTCAATTTACTATAAAAGCGTGTTTTTTAGTTTTTTTAAACTATATTTATTTTTCCCTTTTTATTTCGATGTATTATTTTGTTGTTCATTTTTTATTTTGAAGAAAAAGCTTTAATTCTTATTTGTGTTTTGTTAATATTTTGTGGGATTATTGAGATTATGGGAGGTATGGTTGACATTGTTGACATAAAGACTCAATCAAAAAATTATGGTGTGACCTATGCGACACCTGGAGTGTGCCCGAAGTACTTTCTGAACGGCACAGAGTGTGCGCACTCGGTGTGCCTATAGCATTTATGAACGGCTAGTGCGTCGCACCGGTATCACACTCACACTGAGTGTGTCATTCCTGAATTCGCCCCAGATATTTCCAGGCTTTTGCAGACATTATCCAGACTTATTCAGAGCTTTCCAGAGTTTTCCAGATTTCATCCAGATTTATCCAGACTTGTACAGACTGATCCGGATTCTGGAAAATGATCCCCAGGTCTTTTGGGACCTTTTCCAGAATTTCTCCGACCCTTTCAAGAAGTTTCCAGGCCTTGTCCAGAGATTTGCAGACTTTTCCAGACAATATCCAGACTTATCTAGAGTTTTACCGACTTCATCCAGATTTATCAAGCCCTTATCCAGACTTGTACAGACTGCTCCGAATTTTAGAAAATGATCCCCTCGTCTTTTGGGACCTTTTCTAGAATTTTTTCTACCCTTTCAAGAAGTTTCCAAGCCTTTTCCAGACTTTTCCAGACATTATCCAGACTTATCCAGAGCTTTCCAGAGTTTTCCAGACTTCATCCAGATTCAACCAGACTTTATCCAGACTTTTTCAGCCTGATCCGGATTCTAGAAAATGATCCCCAGGTCTATTGGGACCTTTTCCGGAATTTTTCCGACCCTTTCCAGAAATTTCCAAGTCTTTTCCAGACGTTTCCAGAGATTTCCAGACTTTTACAAACAATATCCAGACTTATCCAGAGTTTAACAGACTTTACCCAGATTTATCCAGACCTTATCCAGACTTGTACAGACTGATCCGGATTCTGGAAAATGATCCCTAGGTCTTTTGGGACCTTTGGCAGAATTTTTCCGACCCTTTCCAGAAATTTTCAGACGTTTCCAGACTTTTCCAGAAATTTTCCAGATTTTTCCAGGCTTTATCCAGATTTATCCAGACTTGTACAGACTGCTCCAGACCTTATCCAGTCCTTTCCTGACCTCC